ACAACACTGTGTGATTTATCAAAATAAAAATCCTATCCATAATGAATATATTATTTTTCAAGAGTAGATTTTTGAGGATTTGATTTGTCGCTCGAGTTTGACCACGGATTGATATCAGTTAGAGAAGCATTGAAAACCACCACTGGAGTACTGGACAGCCAGCTGTTTCGTCATCCTAGTCTCTTGGGAATCATCGGCAGTACACACCCACTGGGGTTGAAACCCACGACCTTCTGGTGGTTACAAGGCCAGTGAAGTCTATCCAGTCAAGTGTGTGAGGATGGATTTCTCGCCGATGACATTGGTTGGTGCCAGTCGCGATAAATCACGAATGGGTAGAATTTAGAATTCATGGGCTGGCCATTGAATCGGGTCCCAGTGGCTGAATGGTATACGAGCTTCCTTTGTAACCGGAAAGTCTTGGGTTCGAACGATAGTGGCTGCGTACAGCGGATGATTCTCAAACTTTTTGATGTGGTTGTGTTCTCTGAGCTGGATAGTTAATTTGCGAAGCTTTCATCGCCCTACTAGGCGACATCTTCAGCGCATACTTCAATTCGTTGAAGTGAGCTTTTAGATTTCTCCACGAGTTTATTATTCGTCTCTCCTGGTGGGTCACCTTGAACGAGATTGGTTGTTTTTGTGTGTTTTCACACCCTCTAGGTTACTTGTGTTGGAACTGATTGTTTCTTTAACTTGAACTTTGACCGTTTGTGTGTGTGAGGTTTCTTTCTTATTGGTTGATAAATTCTGTCTATCTCAATGTGTCTATTGATTGATGATTCACTGGAATACCAGGCTTCTAAAAATTCCCTAGCATTCTTGGTGTTTCCTCTGTCTAATATTTGAACGTTGTCCCAGTCAAATTGATGTCCGTGGTTGTCTGTATGCAGCAATATGAGCGAGGGAGTGGATGTCATGTCTTTTGACGGCTAGTTTATGATCATGGATACGAAGACGAAGAGGACGTCCACTTTGGCCAATGTAGTGTTTTTCGCAGTGGTTACAATTTATTTTGTAAATGATGTTGGTTTTCTCTTATTTCATTGTTGAGTCTGTCTTTTGGTTGACATAGAGCCAGTTGAGTGAAGTGGTCTTGTTGGTTTGTGTGCGACGTCAATTCATAAAGGTTTGAAGAGTCTTGCAATGATTTCTGAGATGTCCTTTATATATGGTAGGGCGATTTTCTTTGAGCTTTCCTTGGGAGCTTTTGGTTTGATAGGTTGGGTTGAAGGTATATGTCTCTTGATGAAGTTCTGTGGATATTCTCAAACTAGGATGAAACAGCTGGCTATCCAGTACTCCAGTGTTGGTTTTCAATGCTTCTCTAACTGATATCAATCCGTAGTCAAACTCGAAAAAAACAATATATAAATGAAAAAGCGTTCATTTACCCAGACTTCCGCAGTAAGTTGGTAATGTCCTGTCCTACACTTATCACATACGATATGTGCTAAATAATAAGACATTATAGAGTTTTTCTACTTAGTCGTCCCAGCATACAGTCTTCTATAACTGCTTTTATTTCTACCTGATAAGATACATGCAAAGAGAGAGTTGTGTATTGAGAGATACGATGCTCAGAGTCTGACAAGATAATATTCGCTAATTTCTTGTGTGAGTCCATGTGTCTACTGTCTACAATAGTATTAACGAGTTAGTTTAGGAAACATTTATTTCCCGATACGAATTTAAAACAAGCAATAAAGGTTAATAAATCAGGATTTAATGAATTCATCAAATTTCGGTAGAACTCGTCAGCTGAATACTCTACATACACGGATATATGTACTTTTGAAATTGCATTGGGAAATATAAGACTCATAAGCGAGCAAATAAACTACACTGAATTAATCATGCAGAAAACAGCTGAATGCAAAGTGCCAAAATCCTCAATAACAAAACATCTTGTGGATTACGAACATGATATCGACGCGGTCAAGTCATTCACCATTGTCAGCAGACAAAGAAACAAGAAGATGCTTGCAATTGTGAAGGAGGCTTGTGCAATTCGAGTTTATAAACCAGATCTCTGTGTACAAAAGGAGATGGTCGTCACTCTGAATCTACCATGGCAATACGTTTTACTTATCATTCTACCTCTTGTTATTATTATTATTATTATTATTCTCACTATTATTATTCTGGATTCATTTAAAACTATCCTTTATCAGTAGGATTATCTTAACTCACTACAACACTATTATTATTATTGTTATTATAACTATTACTATTGACATCACTCTGCTCTCAATTCTTGTTATATTCTCTAATGTGTAATTGTTTATCTAAGTGATGTTATTGAAGCGTAATGCAATTTATCTTAATTTTGATCTCTCATACTCTCTCTCCCCTTATCTATTTGAACATGACCTGGAAAAACATTCGCACCTGTCTTTCTGCATGACTAATTCAATGTAGTTTACTTATCAGTCCTATATCTCCCAATGTAATTTCAAAAGTATATATATCCGTGTATGTAGAGTATTCAGCTGACGAGTTCTACCGAAATTTGATGAATTCATTAAATCCTGATTTATTAACCTTTATTGCTTGAGTTAGTTTAGCTTAGCAACAACCCACTGGCCTTACTGACACCTTTTAATTCCCTTCTCTTCAGTGTAACCAAGTAGTTTTTCTTAAGTAGCTCAGGAAAGATTAAGGTGGGTGGGCGGGGGTGAGCAGTAAAGAAGGGTAGACAGAATACAAGAATTAACAAATTGTGAAAGTAGACACTGAGCAATGCCAGATCGTCTTAACTGCCTTACATAGAACGTCGAACGAAATATCTTCCTGGAAACTAATATGATGTGAGAAGACCAGGAAAGATCACAAGAAATACACAGTCCAAAGTATTTAACATTCGATTTAGTTTCAACTTCTGTGGCATCTATAATATTGGAACTGAGCGAAATAACCAGTTCATGTAAGTCGCGCTGGTGCCTGAAAGTGAAATCAACAACCTAACATTTGGAGTGATTAAGCTTAAGACCATTTGACAAGAACCACCGACTAATTTCTGATAAAAACTTATTCATTTTTTGAACAGTCTGACTGAGGCGTAACAGGCATAGAAAGTCAGATCATCGGCATACTTAACAAAATTGGCTTCGTCAGAATGAAGCAAGTCAAGTAAGAAGAAGGAGAAAGAACAGCTCCATGGGGAACACCAGTTGGAGTAAGTGAAGCAGTGGAGGACTTTCCATTGTAAACACTGTACCGCTTTCTATCAGAAAAATAGGAATGCAACCACTTATTAGACCAGCACCCTACTTAAGTTACAGCAAGCTGGTTTGACAAAAGATACATTCATGTTCCACTAACAGCTTTAGTATGATATTGTAACGACAGAAGTCAAGGGCCAGGCAACAGATGGTTTATTGAGAAAATCGAGATGTAATTTTTTATATACATTAATATTAGCGTTATTGTTAGCAGAGAAGCAACCTCTTCTGATTGGTTGTTTTCCTGCTGAAAGTCATTCTGTACTGCCTGTGACCGTTTCTCAGAAAGTTAAGCCATATATCTGCGAATCGTATTCGCACACATTAAGTCCGCTGTGATTGGTTGGTGAGTTTTCCAAGGTTAAGCTGTTATTGTTCTTTCTCATAACCCCGATTCAGGGAGTAACGTCATCGTTCTGTATTTTCTTTATTTTTTCATCATTTGTCTTATGTAGGCAAAACCTGTTTATCTTTCTATCCATCTGTCTGCCTGCCTGTCTATCTATCTATAGATATATTCATCTGTCTACCTGTCTACTGTATAATTGATTACTTAGTTCCAATTAAACTAACTGGGTTCTTTTGACGTAGGCTAAAACTACCGTTCTTAAACTGTCAATCAAAAAACACGAATACATACTTAGAGAACAAAAAAGGTACGCAAACAGCTAATACATTATAATTATAATCAAAAATTATATTATACCCTTCAAAAAGACTTAACTAGGCTTTCCAAGTAGTGAATACAAAAGAAAGACGAGGATGGCTGTCTATTATCACCGATGTTATTCCTAATTGTGGTGGACTGACTCGATAATGCGGAAGACTGTGCGTTAGGAGCAAGAAGACAGAAATACCACTGGACCGAAAAGAAGACTCGAGAAAACCTGGATTCCGTGGATGGTTTATGTCGAATGTAACACAAACTCGAAGACTTAGAGGCGTAAATCAACAAACTTCATGAAGAGGCAGCGCAGCCAAGATAGAACTTCCAGGTGAACATAGAGAAGTCGGAGGTGATGAAGATATCCACCCACCCACCATCACCACCACCAACGGGGGGAATTTGAAACAGGTCACTTCCTTCACTCATCTGGCTAGGAAGCATCACTCCAACTACAGGCACACAAAACAGATGAAAATGTCGAAACCACCCAGTCAGAATCTGAAAGGCAAGGTACACTTTCAACACCTTGAAATCAGTTTGGAAATCTTCCACACTCACTCAGCCAGCATAAACAACGAGATTCGGATTCTGTTCAACACAAATGTGAAGTCAGTCAGTTAGTTACTTCTTCTACAATTGGTGAGAAACTTGTCCAGTGCTTGAGTCACGAAAAGCATTTCCAACAGGACACTTAACAGACTTTTATCACCAATTGCCCCCTACTCTGGCTCCATACTGAAGATCAAACGGCCAGCTAGCCAGAAAGAATTAGCAGCAAACAAGAAACTCTGACAATGAACGCTAAAAAAATATGTAGGAGAAAATAGAGATGAATTTAGCACACGTCGTCAATGAGGAGACTATTGGGTGACATGGTGCTTAATGCAGGCCATTGCTCGAGTGCGAAATGACGAGTGGGGAGTCCAAGAGTGACATGGAGGAGATCAGAGATAATGGACAAACGTGGGGTCAGCTTAAGAGGATCGCAGAAAACAGAACAAGATGGATGCGTGTCGTATGTTCCACTCGGAACCCAAGGGAAGAACAACAACAATAATAATATTCCCTTCAAAAATAAAAGATGAAGGCATTCGAATATACACACTTACAGAATAGACACTGCCAAACTGTAATGGTGCTAAAATCGATTTAAAGTGTTTTCGATTGACACGATTATGTAAAGCGATACCTGGTCGACCAGTGGAATCAACAAACGGCAACAAATCGAAATAATCATTCTTCAAATTATCCAATGATAAATGCGATATTGTTTGTGAAGTATCAGCAGCTGACAGTGGTGACGACGACGACGACGTCTCTGTTGTTGTCATCGATGATAAACAAAAATCAATAGACCATGCAGACGAACTGTTCAGCATAGAAGACATATTACCATCATTACTATTATTATTATTATCATGTGAAACCATTTGACTTTCATCAGTAGGCAAGATATTACTAATAAATGGATTATTAGTAGTAGTTATCGTCGGCGTAGTGGTATTTACACTTTGATATAGCTGTACTTCACACTTATTATTAGATTCCGGTGAAGAAGTTAATATTTGATTTGTTGAAGCGGGAATTTCAGATTCACTGCCATTAATATTATGAGTATTATCAGCGCTTTCGTCTTCTACATGTGTTGTTGTAATCTCTTCAAAATTACTAGATGAACAAGAAGTCACAGTGGATATCTTGGAGATTTCAGAGGATTCTGATGGATACATTACATTGGTTGATGAAGAATTATCCCTGGAGATTCTACAAAAAAAAACAATTAATTTAATTAGAAAACAAAAATACTACAGTGAATGATTATGGGTGTTGCGTCGAAGATTATTTTCTTCTCGACGAAGTCACCGTCAACTAGGCTGGCTTGTACATTCATGTATTTATAGAGTAAATGGGTGAGAAAGTTTCAGAATTATTTCCGGTTAAGGGTAACAGAACATCTGGTGATGAATTCAGGACATCCAACTCCATTTAAAAATGAAGAATCCTTCAAAGTCATATACAAGATCCGACCAAGCCTCTCCAAGGCGGTGAAATCAAGGTATCTGGCTGGGAATAGCTGAGGCATTAGTGATCCAAAAATTCAAGCCCAAGCCATCTGTTCAAAAGAAATGTGTCCAACCATTGTCTCTACCATGGCCATTATGAAAAGTCCCCTTTCTTCTCCAATCTTCCAATCAACAGATAATTTAAGTCACGTAGGAAGGTGCAGACTTCTTGTCTGGTTGGAGTCCTCAAAACGGTAAACACCAATGGTTGGACACGATCGGTGATATGGCTAGCTCAAAATCGTCCTCAATGACAGCGCAGATGCATCCACTCTTTGTGACTTATAATACCCAATAAAACTGTTTTCGTCTTCGATATTACTATTCGTTTTGCCTCATGTTTCTGTTTACTGTTGTGGTGAGAGCTGTTTGCAAGACAAAATTATAGACAACAATTGACGTCTATGTCTACGTCCCGAATCGGGGTCATGAGGAGAAAAAACAAGAAAAAAGCCTAACCTTGAGGAACTCAACGACCAATCACAGCAAACTTAGCGTGGGAGGATACGATTCGCAGACATACGACCAGACTGTCTAAGAAACGGCCACGAAGAGATGACAGAATTACCTTCAGCAAGAAAACAACCAATCAGAAGAGGTTGCTTCTCAGCTAGCAATAACGCTAATAATAATGTACATAAAAATCCATAAATATCTGTTGGTTTTCTCAATAAACGATCTGTTGCCTGGCCTTTGTCTTCTGTCGTTACACTGTCCCTATTTTGCATTTATTTTTACTTCTCTTGATTTGTGTACTACATGCAGTGTGGCGACTCGAAGTGCTGCACATCAGTGCAAAGTTCTATGTTGAAACCAGCCAGTCAGTAAGTCTCCAATCTTCCTGTTTACTTCTGTTATTTTTACGTTTTTTTAATTCCTACCTGCAATGCTATGATATTTTTATCCGAACTTTCTATCTGTTTTGTTATTATCACACTTTTAATTCCTTATTGTACAAAAGGGTCAATTGTCCCCGTAATTATCATCCTACTACGTTTGTTTTATCCGATCTTCTTGTTCATTGCACTTTATGATTTTATTAATTTGACCTTTGACCTAGCGGAAATAGTTCTGGAACTTTCTAACCCATTTACCCTATAAATACACGAATGTACAATATAGTTGATGACTGACTTCGCAGAAAAGAAGATTTTCTTCGCTACAACCGTTTTTTACTGCGAACGAGCATTATATTTTACGTTTAAGGACGGTTCTCCAACTTTCATTGACTGATAGGGTAATGTGTTCACACTTTGTAACCTGACGGTCCTGGATCTACATTTATTCAGTGATCACGGACACCTCCCCAAAATTTCACTGCATTTTTGAGCTAGACTTGAAAATAATATCTAGGAAGACAATTAAACCGCCCAACTCAAAAAAACAACTAAAGAACAAATATAACCACAGTGAAATTACCTACCTTAGCTACAAATCTTCTCTCTATCACTTCAAAGTATGAATTTATGGGTCAAACACCCAAAGACGTACACACCGTTACACTGTGTCATATTCCGACTTACTTGGTGTGTCTGCGTAAAACTTCAGACACAAGAGTCTCCAACAATTAACACAATTGTTGTCATGGTAGTAGAAGCGATTAAATGACTTTCTTTTTTATGCATAACTCTGATTTTTCAACTGAATGACTAGGCCTTTTGCAATGCAAAGAAGACGGAAACATATGGTCTTTGGCAGGTTGTTCTTCACTTTGTAGATTAATTTAAAGGAGGCGTTTGTTGAGAAAGAATGGCCACTGTTGACAAGATGTTCTATTATCGCACTCCTTATACAACCACTATTACCTTTCCATAGTTTTTTGAACCCTTTTGGACGGGATACGCGTCGAACGACAAATTTACCTGGCTCCACAGCAACAGGTGAACGGATATATGCACGTAGAGGTGATCAAATGCGAGATCTTGCCCTTAAGGCTTCTGCAGATCAATGGACGACTGGAGAACACTACTCTTAGCGTTGCTGAGAAGAATGTTCTTCTCAAAAGTGTTAGAATTCTTCTCCTAAGGATTTCACAGGGTGGAATTCAGGTTCATGAAGAGTTTTTCTTTTCGGAACAAGTTATGTTTTGTTCTTTTGAACTTTGAGTCTGACACTCTTTGGATGGATGAAGCTTTCTTTCAGAAGATCTAGTTCTGCTTCCAGGGCGTCAGGGCTTCAGATGCATCGGATTCGAATGGCAAGGGATTTAATTAGATTTCGTTTCATTCAACGAACATCCTAGTATAGAAACTTGTTAGTTGACCATTCCAAGTGGATACTCTATGGACTGACCTCCATAAGGTTCCGTCGGGTCGTCTTGTTAGTTCCATATCAAGAAAGGGAATTTTAGATTCGTTTTCCGTTTCTGGAGTGAATTTTATTGTTGATTGGTAGTCATTATTACATATCATTAGCGATCAGTCTCCGGCACTTGCTGATTGCAAGATGGACACAACAGTTTGTGTTTGCACTTTTCACTTTGCAAGGCGAACAACAAAACAACACTCTCAAAGACTGTATGTCTATGTACATGCGTGAGTGAAATTTATTAGCATATTTCAAAAGTTTTCAAGTATTGATTTTGTAGAGATTTTGTTTGATTGGTTGCAGGATTTTATCATGATGTCAACTTACTTAAAAATTAATCTGATGCTCACTAAGCGGTTGGCCCTATACAGGCAGTTAGTTACCTGGGGTTCTAATGGGAAGCCATAACCAGTAGGGTACAGCAGACTGAAAGTGAAGCAGTAACTCATCATCGAAGAAGACATTGCAAAGTGGTCGCGTTATGTCATGAATTGGCAGAAGTTAGAATTCATGGACTGGCTGGCCACTGGATCAGGTCCCAGTGGATTAATGGTCTATGAGCTAGCTCACCTTGTAACCAGAAGGTCCTGGGTTCGAACCTCAGTGGGGTGAGTGCGAACTAATAAAGAGTTTCAAACTAGGCTGACGAAACAGCTGTTCAGTACTCCCTGCAGGTTTTCCAATAGTTCTCTAACTGATGTCAGCTCATGATGAAATCCTCCAACATTTCAAAAGTCCTACACTGTACTGTCACCGATGATCTTCCTGATTATGGTGGACTGGATCATCCAGTAGACCGTAAGAGAAAAAAAACAAGCGTACGTTGGAATAAAAACAGACCCAAAAAGATTTGGATTTCGCGGATGATGTATGTCATGTGACACGAAAACTCGACGATTTTTAAGTGAAAACTACCAAGAGGGCAGAAGAGACAGAGAAGATAGGACTTCATCACGTCAACATGGAAATACCCAACACCAAAAACAAAACAAATCAATCATCATCAACGGGAGGAACTTGAAGGAAGTAATCTCTTTCGCTTACCTAACCTGGCCAGCATTGTTTCAGCTACAAGCACTACGGATGACGATATCAAAGCCAGCCCAGATAGAATCCCGAAAGCATTTCCAACAGACTGCGACTTCCATCAACAGCTAACACTCTCGTTTGATACTCAAACTCTTTACGAAGTGAGATTACTAGGCCGCACACCCAACCTTCACTGCTTTCCACGCTAGACGCGATTTAACACAGCATCGGTCAGGAATCGATCCATGACCTTCAGTGTGACTGACACTGCCCCATTAGACGACGGACGTCTTGACCACAACAATACAACTAATCAATATGATTGAGAAAAACAAAGACAATTCAACTTACTCAGTTTTTGGTAATGAACTGTCATCATTTGATTCAAGAAACTGTGGATTTCGTTCTGATGTACATCCATCCCCCGCTGAAGTGCACAATACATCTTGAAAAAAGATACACGCAGCATAGAGGAAAGAGAAAGAGAAAGGAAGGATAGATATCATCTAACCGTTTCATTAAAAATCAGGTTTCTTTATGCAGTTTTCACATCAATTCCAACATTATTGATGTAAACTGACATATACGAATCGGTGGTACAGCGATAGAACGCTAACCGACTAAGCCTCATGTGGTTCGGTTCGGGGTTCGATCTCCGGGTAGCAAAGGCACTCCTAAACCACACTAAGCCGGTAATAACCCCGGTTAAGAATAGTGAAGGTTGGATTTGAGGTTAGCAAACCCACTCCGTAAAAAACGGACATCACTACTACAGAAACTTAAAAAACTCAAGCCTGAAGTCATATGTTCCACTCACAACCTAAAGGAACAAACCAAAAAAGGGCACCCACCCACGCATACACACACACAACTCACCTGATTGTAGCTGGGATTTACTCAGTAAAACGGAATTTGATCCAGAATCGGTTAACTTAGCACTGACTACGGTTGGTATATGTGATGAAGGTGATTCCGAATCATCGTCCTATTCAAATAAAAGTAAAGTAGATCACAATTTAAATTCTTGAAATCAGTCAAACTTTCGGGTTAGTATAATTTAAATTAAATTTTCAAATTTTTACTATAGCTTGACTCCACACAGTATTTTTGATACAAGTATGCAATTTCCAGCATGTGATATCGGTAGCCCGAATTTCGCAGGCCGACCATTGATATCGGGTGTGCGTCGGCTGGGAATCGAACCTCGGACCATGTGCATGGTCAACGAGCGTCTTAACGATTAATTTCAGTGTAGACTGGAATTAAGAACTGGCATCAGTTGAAGATGGCTGACACAAAGACATGCACGCCGACGACTCAATTATCATTATCTCTTAACGACGGGGGAGCAGCCTTGACAACTTTAATAGAATAAAGGAATAGTTAAGTGTTGGTTTGTAGCGATTGGATTTGATTTAATTGGTTACACGATCATCATCATGAGCTGATATCAGTTAGGGAACCATTGTTAACCAGCACCCGAGTAGTGGATAGCTGTTTCGTCAGCCTGGTTTAGGACTAACTCTTCAGAGGTACGCACCCACTCCATTGCCACGGTTCGGACACAGAACCTTCAGGTCACAAGGCCAGTTCGTAGACCATTAAAATAATAAAAAACATTTACACAATACTTTTATAATATGTAGTGAAAAATTCGACCTAGATAGTCTATTCGACACTTTTAGCGTAACACACTTTTCGATTAATTCACTCTGAAATGGGAATCAAACCTGCTATTTTTATTCCTGGAAGTGGTACTTTCGAGAGGATAAAAACAATTCAATTATAAGATCAATATAACGAAAAACCAATATCCACTGGACAACCTGGGAATACTGTACACCTGTTTCGTCCTATTTTGAGACTCTTCATCAGTACGCACCCACTGGGGTTCGAATCCAGGAACTTCTGGTTTCAAGGCGACCTCGTAGACCATTGAGCCACTGGGACCCGATCTATGAGGTCGCCTTGTAACCAGAAGTTCCTGGGTTCGAACCCCGGTGAGTGCATACTGATGAAGAGTCCCAAATTAGGACGAAATAGCTATCTAGTACTCCCAGCTTTTCCAATGGTTCTCTAAATGATGTCAGCTCATGATGAAATCCTCCATGCAGTCAAATAAAATCCCTATAAAAAACAAATCCACTGGACATTTAATTGACTTCCAGAGATATGTTGCACTAGCCAAAAAAAAACAGAGATTAGTATGTTCATTATGCTCAAGGATTCGGAAAATCTGCTTGGAAGACACGGTGGAGACTGGGGTTGAAATCTTTATTATACAGTAAATAAGAAAATGAATATCCATTCAGACATATTAACCAAAACATGAAGGAAAAGGCGTTGTCACAGAATGTCATAAGTGTTCCAAGAAAACTCTCTTCATGAACCTGGAGTTCAAAGATGATATCGAAGACAAAATCCTTCAAAATTATCTTTCTAATTATATGAAAAAGACATCAGAATCAACGATTCCCTTGAGAATTCTATTCTTCAGTTCATATAGTTATGCGTTAAGGACTTATTTCCGGTGGAGCGAAGTAAATCAACCATACTCAACGTCAAGTCCGTAAACGTATCTTAGAACACTAACGACGCTGGTTAACTCTACGGTGGCGAAGAAAATATCAGTAGTGCTATCATAGATTATATTTATTATTTATTTAAACGCAGAAAAACTTGGTACAATATGGCACCAAGAAAGATGCGCCACCCAATATTGTGTGAGGGCTGAGATACTGCCCGGGCGCCCAGACCGAAGCAGGTGGTTTTCCTAAGGGACCAATCCCCGAGACTTTGACTTGGAGTCTAATCCGTAAGGCAGCGGAGCAGCATCAGGAGCTGCGTTCCCATGGTTGCCGGTGTCCCATATGGGTTCATACGCCATTTGATCCGATTGAATTCTGGAGCCCATGTACCCCATGGTAAATGTTTTTAGTCTAACCGCTATCCAAACGACCTTCCTGACATGGTAGGACCTGCAGGGACATGAGTCCCAGCCAGTTTAGCTTGTTGGGTCACTGTGGCATTCAAGCCCGACCACCACGGCAAGGTAGCAGTTATCGGTCGGGAGTGCTATCATAGAGCATCTTATCAACTGTCAGTCTCAGGCAGACCCCCTCACTTCTGTAACTGCTTCAAAATGATCCCACAGAGCTTCCTGCAATATAGCACAACAAGACTTCAAACACGTCATTTACGAATAGGCCAATCAAATTGGCTGGCTATTCAGGACCTTATGTGGAACCTCTGTGTTGAAAAGCCTTACTAGGATCACAGTAACGTTATTGCCATAATATTGTTTCATAATGAAAAAGAATATATTTTTTAGCTCAATATACTTTTGTGAATGTGTTAATATGAACTCTTAAATTACTGTAATTTTAGTATTATTATTACTGTCATTTATAACAATGCATTTCTCACGCACACACATCTCATGTAAACACTTTACTGTACTCATTCAAACTGATTAGGTCATTTATTATTATTATTATTATTATTATTATTATTATTCGATGGAGGATTTCATCACGAGCTGACATCAGTTAAAGAACCCCTGGAAAACCTGGGACTGGCTCAACGGTCTACGAGCTACCTCACCGTGTAACCAGAAGGTCCTGGGTTCGAACACCGGCAGTAGGGTGGGTGCGTACTGCTGAAGAGTCCCAAACTAGGTTGATGAAACATCTGTCAAGTACTCCCTGGTTTTCCAATGGTTCTCTAACTGGTGTGTCAGCTCATGATGAAATCCTTCATCCAATCAAACAAAATCCCTAAAAACCAATACTTGAAAATTATTATTATTATTATTATTACTATTACATATTACCAGCTTCCGTTTATAATCCCACTTGAGCATTCTCTCTTTTTGGATTATCCCTTACACATTACATAAAACATGCTGTAAAACATAACTGACCAGTAATTTAACTGGTTTTATGAATTCATCCATTGAATATAATAATAAGTTTAATCACACGACTTTCGAAAATAATCCATCAAGAATAAAATGTCCATTATTGTTATGTATTCTTAGTTTCAGCTCTGAAAGTGTACCGCAATGATGAGCAGCCTAGCTTGATGATTACGGTGTAGGCATGACCGATAGTACTCAGTCATCATCACCACCACCACCACCACCAAGCAACAAGGAACTCTAGCATCTTTAGCAACAATCTTCGAATGTTTGGAATGCGATTCGCTTCGGCTGACAAATGTAAGATGACGAGGCTACAGGACTTGATTGGATTACATCGACTCACTCCTAAGCTTAGAGATAGGGAGGTAGAGGTGAAGTGGCTGGCGGAGCATGTTGACCACTTCACCTATTTACGGGGGGAAGTTGCATCAGCCAGTGCCATAGGGTTTATCGCTGACGAAATCTAAGCATTGATACAGAAGGCTCGTTTGGCATTTCCCAACCAACCTACGCTATCTCTCGCTTAGTAAACGTGATATCCAGCTGGCTGATTGGTTGTCGAACAAAGGAAGTGTGTACTGTTCAGCAGCAGCAGAATCACTTCATTCAATCCTCTTTTATGGCTAGCTGTGAGTGAAACATGGTCCCCATTGAAAGTGGAAGACATGAAAAGCTTGGCTAGCTAGCTAGCTAGCTGTCCTTCATTATAGGTGTCTGCCTGTGTTCTCTCTCCTGTGTGTGTTGGGTGGTAGTGTTACATAGTGAGGTGAGGTTTCAGTCGAGTGCTAGGTAAGGAGTTACATCGACTGAGAGAGAGATGGTTAGGATATGTGTTACACATGCATAGCCTAGTCATCGATGGCCTTCCTCGACAACGGGCAATGTTAGCCGCCAACATAGGATGGATCAGGTTGGAAAAGAATTGGCGGTTAGACGAAAACATGGCTTTATCAGTCAATCAAATGCATAACAAATAGTTTAAGCCAGCCAACTAGAGAGCCACGTAGGCAGGTGTAAAAACTACTAGTCTGGTTGGAGCCCTCGGTCCTCGGGATGGTGAGAACCAATGGAGGTTGGAGACAACTGGTGATATGGTTCCAAATCTTCGTTGTCAATGACAGCGCAGATGCATTCGCTCCTTGTCATTTGTCAGTCATATCCAACAAAACTCTATTGTTACAGGATTCTCATCATGAGCTGACATTAGTTAGAGAACCATTGGAAAACCTGGGAGTACTGGACAGCTGTTTCGTCCTAGTTTGGGACTCTTCAGCAGTACACACCCACCGGGATTCGAACCCAGGACTTTCTGGTTACAAGGCGAGCTAGCTCGTAGACCATTAAGCCACTGGGACCCGATCCAATGGCCCATGAATTCCAACTTCGGCCAATCCACGACATAGCGCGACCCCTAGCCAATGTCTTCGGCGAATATTTGTCCTCACACCCAACCTGCTTGTTCTTTCATACTGATGTTGGTTTTTCCCTCACACCTCTGTTTATTGTCTCTCTTTTGATGAATCTCTGTTTACTTTCTTCTCTTCTTTCGTGTGCTACATGAAGTGTGGCAACTGGAACTGGTGCACAACTGTGCAGAATACTAAGATGAAACCAGTCAGTCACTTCTCGTCACTTTGTTTAACCATGAACTAATAACCGCCAACCAATCAGAACATTCTATTGTCCGGTCATCTAGCCAAAGCTCAATATGGTTACAAAAACAGTCCATTACCACTTTTCCTATCTTCTACCGTAACATGTAGAGTGAGATTCTAACCCGGATACTCGTTGACTGGGAACTCAGTGCTTACGCGCCAATGAACGATATCTCCATTAGTGAAAAAGTGTAACAATCCGATGAGTAAAATAAAAAGTCAAACTTACTAATAATGTACAAGCATCAACACCAATATCATATCCTTCGACTATGTCTGACTGACGTTTATTTCCATCTGATAATAATTTAGAAGGCCATGGTATGAAGACTATAAAGAAAGGAATATAACAATTATACTTAAATATGAATGCAGACATATATTTAAATCGATACAAGACTTTAGGAGACAATCATAAGACATTACAATAGGTGCTGATTACGAATTCTGCGGGTTTATATAGTACACAAATTTCTATTAGTATAATACTCAGCAGTCAATATGTTTCAGGATTTCATCATGAGCTGACATTAGTTAGAGAATCATTGGAAAACCTGGAAGTACTGGACAACTGTTTCGCCCCAGTTTGAAACTCTTCAGCAGCACGCACCCACCCAACTGACATGGTTTGAACCCAGGAACTTCTGGTTACAGGGCGAGCTAGTATACCATTAAGCGCTATGTCGTGAACTGGCAGAATTTAGAATTCATGGGTCATTGGATCAGGTCCCAGTGGCCTAATGGTATACGAGCTCGCCTTGTAACCTGGGTACGAGTCCCAGTGGGCGCGTACTGATGAAGAGTCTCAAACTAGGACGAAACGGCCGTCCAGTACTCCCAGGTTTCCCAATGGTTGTCTAACTAATGTCGGCTCATGATGAAATCCTGGAACCAATCAAATTCCTACAAACCAGCACTTGAATATTCAATATGTACTAGACAATGCCCTAGATCTTTATCAACCCAATTCAACTGCCATGTATCAGGTGATCCACAAAGGAGAACTCAGTGAGGCGTTCGAGATTAAGACAGTAGTAAGATGAAGCTGGTTGTCTATTATCACCAATGATATTTCTAATTGTACTGGACTGATTGGATTATGCGGAAGACTGTGCATTAGGAGCTAGAAGACAGAAATACCAGTGAACCGATAAGAAGACTCTAGAAGATCTGGATTCCGCAGATGATATATGTCGAATGATATACAAACTCGAAGAATTACAGGTGAAAATCACCGAAATGCATGAAGAAGCAGTACAGCCAAGACAGGAATTCACTTGAACGTAGAGAAGACGGAGGTGATGGCGATAACCACCCACCCACCATCACCTCCGACAACAACAGCCAGCACCAATCACCCACCATCAACGGGAGAAATTTAAAAGAGGTCACTTCTCTCACTCGTCTAGCTAGAAAGCATCGCTCCAACCAAAGGCACACGGAACGGATGAAAATGTCCAAATCAGCCAGCGAGAATCGGAAAGGCAAGGTACACCTGCAACACCTTGAATTCACTTTAGAAATCTTCTACACTCACTCAACCAGCATAAACGAGATTCGGATGCTGTTCAACACAAATGTAAAGTCAGTCAGTCAGTTACTTCTACGATATGGGTCAGAAACCTGCACTGGGCGTGAGTTACGAAAAGCATTTCCAACAGGCCACTCTGCAGACTTTTATCAACAATTGCCCCATACTCTGGCTCCATACTGAAGATCAAATGGCTGGCCGGCCAGAAAGAATTAGCAGAGAAGAAGAAACTCTGCCAGTGAACGAACCAACAAGCGAGAACCGATTTCTCAACAAATAGTGCGAAGCAAATGGAGATGGATTAGACACACACCACTGAGGAGATCATCGGATGATATCGCACTCAATGCAGGCCATCATTCGAGTGGAAGGTAAATAGGAAAGTAGCGACGAGTTAGACGTTTGTTCGAGGGTGACATGAAGGAGATGAGAGATAGTGGTCAATCGTAGTCCCAGATAAAGAGGACAAAAGAGAATAGAATAAAGTGGAGACATTCTGTTGAACTTGTATCTTCCACCAGGTGGAACCCAAGGGCACAATAATAATAATAGTAAATACCTTGAGTTCGATCTTCGGTCGGCATGCTCTTAAACCTCGCCTAGATGGCAGTAGACCTAGTAAAGTGAGAAGGGTGGGGCATGAAGCCAGCGACCACATCCCATGAAAAAACACAATGATAGTGAAACTTTGAAGCTTAAAACTTAAAAGCCTACGAGAAAAAGAAGTACCTTCCCAAGGGTTGGTTTGCAGGGATTTGACTGGTTAGAGAACCATTGGAAAACCTGGGAGTAACGCACAGAGGCCCCGTCAGCCTAGTTTGCAACCACCACCACTGACAGGGTTCGAACCCACCACCTTCCAGTTACGAGGTGAGCTCGTGCACCACTAAGCCAATGGGACCCACCAATCCAATGGCAAGCCAGCCAATGAGAATTCAAACTTCTGACAATTCACGCACGATATAGCGCGACCACCACACTAACCAGTGTCATCTCACTGGCGAGTATTTGTCCTCACGCCCCATTGATCACCACTTCTCACTAGAATCCAACCCAGGTAGCTACCCAGCTACCTACCTGAATAGGGCCAGTAGCCGCTAGTGAGCATCAGATTAATATTCAAGCGTTGATTCGTATGGATTTGGTTGAATAAAATAAACACATTCCAAAAATATTTTTCTGAAAAACGAACAAACAAACGTACCGGACATTTTAAATTTTTCAGTGCTATATTTTCTTGAAGAAGATGATGAAAAGGACATGAGTGAATTTCGACGATTAACATTATTATTACCATCCGGGTATATTAATTGACTCTGTACTAACGCCTTCGATGAATACGATGATGATGATACGGAAGGGGAGACCGCCGCCGGTAATGATAACAATGAAGACGATGATGATGATGCATTTGACAAAGACGGAGGAGTACGACCAGATGATGAGATTTTACTATTATTGATGGTGCTTGTAGCGGTCTTGATCCCAGTTCCAGCAGATCTCTGAGACAGCATTGACTGAATTAATGAAGTGTTTTGATGACTGGAATTTGCAAAGAAATCAGCATAAGTGATATTCGGTGCTAAGACGATAAGATGGGCTAAAAGTGAAAAAACAAAAATAATCAATAAATTAGGGTTTACATAATGACGTAATGGCGGGAGTTAAAAACGCAAACAAAACAAAAAGAATAAATGACTATTAATCATATTCGAACTAGAAACATTCACCATTTTAAGTTCAATCCCTGCCACAACTACGGTTATTTCATATGGTTCCATAATCATTACTCTGCACGTTAATTCAATGTATACAGATTATCAATTAGAGCGTGGGTGGGTGGTTCAATGAAAGAATGCTCACAAAATCCAGAATGACGCATTCCTGAATCTCGGTAAGCCGGTAGTAAGTCAGATAGAAAGAAGGAATGTTGAGAGTGCGGTCAGCTATTCCACACTGTAAAAAGAAACTAATATTGTTGTTATTAACATTATTATTGTTCCCGTTGGTTCCGAGTGGAACATAGGGCTTCAACAGCACGTCTGCACTTTGTCCTACTTTCTGCAGTCCTCTTTAGCTGACCGCAAGATAGCCCATAGTCCTTCATCTTCGCCTTCCCAAAAGGATCCCCTCCATGTCACCCTCGGACCAACACCCAGCTCGTCGCTCGTTTCCCATTCACCTTCCACTCGAGGTCTAGTCTGGCGAGTAATGCCATTCGACCGTTTCCTCAGTGGCATGTGCCCAATCCATCCCCAGTTGTTTCTCACTAATTGTTGATCAATCCGTTCTTGCCTGTTGGTTCGTTCATTGCCAGGATTCCTTGTTCGCTGTTAATTCTCTCTGGCCAGCCAGCCATATGATCTTCAATATGGAGCCAGTGAATGGGGCAGCTGTTGGTAAAAGTCTGAAGAGCGGCCTGTTGGAAATGCATTTCGTAACTCACTCGCAGTGTAAGTTTCTGACCCATATAATAGAAGAAGTGACTGACTTACTGACTTCCCATTTGTGTTGAACAGAATCCGAATCTTGTTGTTTATGCTGGCTGAGTGCGTGTGAAAGATTTCCAAACTGATCTTAATGTGTTGAAGGTGTACCTTGCCTTTCCGATTCTGACTGACTGGTTCGACATTTTCATCCGTTCTGTGTGCCTGTAGTTGGAGTGATGCTTCTTAGCCAGATGAGTGGAGGAAGTGATCTCTTTCAAATTTCTCCCCTTGATGGTGGATGATTGGTGCTGGCTGTTGTTGTTGTTGTTGGTGGTGGTGGTGGTGCGTGGGTGGCTTCATCACCTCCGTCTTCTCTAGGTTCAAGTGAATTCCTGCTTGGCTGCGCGGTCTCCTCATGCAGCTTTTTTAATTTTCGCCCGTAAGTCTTCGAGTTTGTGTGAGATTCGACATAAATCATCTATGAAGTCCAGATCTTCTAGAGTCTTCCTAACGGTGGTCCAGAGTATTCCTGTCTCCTCGATATCGACCCACAGTCTTCCGCATAATGCAGTCTGTCCACCACAATTAGAAATATCATCGGTGATAATAGACAGCCAACTTTGTCTTTCTCTTGTACTCACTTCAAAAGCCTTTCTGAGGTTTCGGTTTTGGATCACCTTTCACGTGGCTTGTGTATAATAAATTACCTCGGTCTATAAATTTCCATAAATACATAAAACTAGACGCTTGTTGGAAATGTTGAATTTCCCGCTGTTTTTTTTTCTGCTGCACTCACTCGAATAATTAGAACAAGATAGTTTTGAGAGGAAAATTGTTTTCCATAACGTTTTCCTCAGGCTCTACCACAATTATAAATCCATGAATATCAGAATACAAATAGCCAGCCAATAAAGTCAAGTGAAAATTATATCAGAAACTCTCTGTATTGCGGTATATGTATAAAATGGAATGATAGTTCGTTAGTTAATACTGTCAACTTGATGTAAATAAAATGTACAGTCAGTCAGAAGACAAGATAAAATGTGAGTAGACAACTGGTTGACATACTAATGAATATTAATACATCAGTATGTCAATAGAATAGAAGTTTCATTCGGGGGTGGATGGGGGTGGAGATGAGTTGTACTCACTGGTGTGAGAGAAATATGATTACCACAAGTAACATACAAACAAATACCAGTATATGGAGTACAGTGAATGCAAGATAGATACCAAGTGCAATGAAAAAAGTGTAACCAAATCAATAAATAGTGCCATTTCACCTCATCTCTGCCTTTGTGACTCAATATCTCATCTCACTGATTACACAAACTTTTGTTTCTACCCTCTCCTCAACCATATTTTTATACTTTGGTAGAATTCAGATCATTTTTTGTTACTGTGACTCCAGTTGAACTCACCACACTCACCCTACGCATCATCAATTCCTCTCCTCTTATCTGGACTACGCAATCCAACAATTTCCAATGTATCCAACCATTAATTTTTGCATGTTTGTATTTTCTTTTAACTTCGACCTCCTTCGTTGATTGTATAAGTGGAACCTCTGAACATTGTTTAGTAACCTGTGTGTCTCTGTTAACAGCTTTCAGGTTACAAGCAGCTGAAGAGATTCCAAAGACGAAATAAATCATGGCCTCGACCAACGTGAGCCACAGATCCAAGCACAAACAGACACAAGACGTATATCAAATAAGACATATTGTCTTGATAATATTAGATAGTTTGAGGCAATCGACTACAGAAAGCCTTGGACCTCGGTTTCGTGTTAGTTGGCACTCGTCAGCAAGGCGTATCTACAACCCTGAAGGAACGCATGTCCCTTCTGAGATTCGAATCCGCGTCACCCATTGCTGCAGTCAGAGCACTAAGATATTCGGGTTGGCAATTGACCTCCTGTAGGACTGTAGTGGGTATTTTGATTGGACACTAGTCAGTAACTAGTGTGACGTGTCTAGTCCTCTCTTTGGTGCCGACTGAATTCTTCTATCAGTCAGATTTGCAATGTGGCCACCATTCTAGGTAGCGCGTCATCATGGTGCACATTGATTTGATGATATATTTGATGATATATCGCGAGCCCAAATAGCTCAGGGGTAGCGTCTCTGACTGACTGCAGCACTGGGTGACGCGGGTTCGAATCTCAGAAGGGACATGAGTTCCTTCAAGATTGCAGATACGCCTTGCTGATGGCGAGCTACCTAGAATGGTGGCCACATTGCAAACCTGACTGGTAGAATTCAGTCGGCACCAAAGAAAGGATTGGACTAGACACGTCGCACTAGTTACTGACTAGTGTCCAATCAAAATGGATAGATTGTCTATTGTAGTAATTAGCAAGTGCTTGTTTGCAAGGATTTGATCGATTACAGGATTGACATCAGTTAGAGAACAATTAGAATACATGGGAGTACGGGACAGCTGTCTTGTTAGCCTAGTTTGAGACTCTTCAGCAGTACGTAACCCCAAAGGTTCGAACCCGGTCAGTGAGTCAGGTCCCAGTGGCTGGATGGTGTACGAGCTTGCCTTGTAACCGGTAGGTCCTGGATTCGAACACCGATGGGTGAGTACTGATGAAGAGCCCAAACTAGGACGAAATGGCTGTCCAGCACTCGAATGTAATATCCTTAGCATACTAACGCTGGGTTTTCATTATATCGCACAGGGTATGTTTACTGTTTTTGTACAAACTTACCTCGTAAAGGTCTAGTGGATAAGACAACCACTTCTGAATTGTTTAATTCATATCCTTGTGGTAGCTGTCTAATAATCCATATTTCTAATCCAATCCCACCGAATGCACGTTTACGTGTAGCATAATTATGACAAGGTTTTAACCATAAAGCATTGACTGTATTAATTTGACCAAGCTGTTGAGAATAAGTCAACAATTCTATTGATTTGATTGGAAATGCTACATTGTAATTTGATAGAACTACTGGCGATTGATTAGGTTGTAAAAGGGCGAATAAAGAATAATTTGAATCCAATGGTTTAGTCCAATAGACAAGTAAATTGGACGATAGAGAGTGTAAGCCAGACTCTAAAAGAAAAAGAAAAATTGATCAAAAATACGCATTAGAAATTTCAAAAGACGTATTACTACTGAACAATGAATATTCCTTTCGATAACTTCTTCTTCACAGATGCGTTCCTCTTCAGTACAAAAGGAATTTAACAAGAATCCCCAGTTACGGGGTCAGAGCCATATACTCAGAAAACGCCACTGAATACGAACTCAGGGTTGGTTGCATATGACACCTTATTTGAAAATAGCTATCCAGAAAAGTTGATCAAGAAACACATGACCAAGAAAGTAGAAAAGGGCTATTTTCTTTGAACAAATACAAAGCTTATGTATATATTCGAGTGCAATTCACGGGTGACGTGTCGAGCGAGTTAAGGAAATCTATTTAAAGAATTTTTAATTCTGGTAAACTACAAGTAATGTTTTCTACACGACCCGTTGTGAATCCTAATTAGAACGATGGGGTACCTAGACCAGCTAGCCACCTCTAATTGTGTCTACCGATTCAACTGAGCTTGTGGTAAAGCGAGTTGTATTGACCAATACTCTAGGAAACTGATTTTTCGTGCTCGCTCGGGAACACCTACCACTGTGGTGTGGCTAAATAAATGTGTAGTAAGAAATATCATTGACAGCTCGACATTAAACCATCTGGTTCAAAGCAATCGGCCACAAAACAGACTAGCATTGAAGAATCATTCTCCATTATCATCGACACTAGTAACTGGTTTGACGTGTCTAGTCCTATTTTTGGTGCAGACTGAATTCTATCAGTCAAGTTTGCAATCTAACCACCATGCCAGTAAGTGGCTCGCCATCACGGTGTACTGTTAATTGCTGTTATTAGATGGTTGGAGACGACCGGCCACAGGAAGCCTTGGACCTAGGCTTTGCGCTAGCTGGTACTCATCAGACTGCACCAAAGATAGGACTGTACACACATTACACTAGTTACTGACCAGTGTCCAATCAAAAATAATATCCAATACAGTTCTACAGGAGGTCAATCGTGAGCCTGAACAGCTCAGTGGTAACGTCTCTGACTGACTGCAGCACTGGGTGACGAGGATTCGAATCTCAGAAAGGACATGAGTTCCTTCAAGGTGGTTGCAGATACGCCTTACTAACTTGATGAGTACCAACTAGCACGAAACCTAGAGTCGAAGGCTTCCTGCAGCTGATTGCCTCCAACCATCTAATCATCCGATGCTATTTAAACATTAATAATAAATTGAATTCTTTCATTATTATGGATGCGCATATAACTGCAGAACCTGATGAAGAGCAGGTTATCGAAAACAATATTCATTTGTTGAGTAGTATTCAGTCTATTGAAAATAAAAAATACCATACAGAAAGCAAAACTAGATTGCCTGTTCTTCACAAATTTCAAATGACAAATAAACATGGATAAGAAAATATTTCAAAAAAGTGACTAGTCTACTTATGGATGTGATGTAGAAAAGTAATGAAGCGAAGAACAACTTATTCAACAACCATTTACGCTCATATGCACAGTTGGTGACGAGGCACACCTAATATTGTGTTATGGCTAATCATGCTACTACCTCGTAGTACAAACACCTCAATAGGTGGATTGTGATTCAAACCTGTGACTCACTGGTTAAAAGTTGATCATCAGCCACAGCTCGGAAGTGTTGTAACGCAGACACTTTAAACATTTAGAAGTGAAATACAGAATTCGGACAACTGATTAAATAATTTTCAAGTATTGGTTTTTGTAGGGATTTTGTTTGATTGGTTGGAGGATTTCATTGTGCGCTGACATCGGTAAGAGATCTAATGGAAACCCAACGCTAGAGTACTGGACAGCTGTTTTGTCAGCCTAGTTTGGGACTAGTACCAGCCGCCGCACTATATCATGCGTCAATTAAAAGAAGTTTGAATTGATGGATTGGTTGGCCATTGGTTTATTGGGTCTCAGTGGCTTAATGGTACACCAGCTCGCCTCGTAACTGGAAGGTGGTGGGTTGGAACCCTAGCAGTGGGGCAGTTGCGGAGTGCTGAAGAGGCGTAAAGTAGGATGACGAATCAGCTGGTTGTCCAATACTAGAATGGTAGTTATTCAACGCCTCTTTAATCCTGTAACTTAACTACAACATTGACAATTAGTCTCAAAATTTTCATCATCTGACAAAAACCTTTTTCAGACATCTGACGTAATTTATTGTTAATGATACCATATCATAACTAAACCGGAAACAAACTAGAACGAACAATAGTGTTTGGCCGATCAATAATCAGTTAATAACGAATTACGCAAACAAACTTGACCGCGTCATCAATTCTACTAGTCAGTTCACCAATCGATACATGAATGTATAACACGCAAGCATCAGAGCCTACGAATTAGAGGGAATAACACTCTCATCAGTTCAGAGTCATTTGGATCTAGGTGTTATCATAAGCCACGATTTAAAAACTACAGCACATTGTCGCACGGTGACAGCACGTAGTTTCAGACCTTTATGGGCAATTCACAGAGCCTCTACTGGATTCATCGGAGATATGTTCACCTCTTTATATACATCTCTGGTAAGATTAAGACTAGAAAACTCTATCCAGGCAGCCAGTCCTTGTCTTAAAGAGGACTTACATATTCTAGAAAGGGTTCAAAGGAAGGCAACACGTATAATTCTTGGCGTGACCAATTTATCACATGAGGAAAGACTAAACGACAGTTTAAATCTCTTCTCCCTGCCATACCGTAGGCAGAGAGGCGATCTCATTACAGTAACGACTATGAACCTGATCTATTCTCCCTTTTCCTTCCCACCAGGTCGGAACACCTCAGAGGACATAGCAGGAGAGTTCAAAAGTCAATGAGAAACTATATCGCTGTAGAGTACTGGTTCTCATACCGAGTCATCAACTCCTGGAACCGACTCCCAGAAGAAGTGGTATCACAACCCCCAATTGACTCATTCAAAAAGGGTTTGGACAGACATAACAATTTACTAGAAAAGGACTAAAAATAGACTTCGAATAGACCTTCAAATCAACTTACCTCCACTAAGCATACACAATTGAAAATGACGCCATTTCACATCACCATCGCCACCATCATCACCACCCACGTCCCTAGGATAGATAGGATCGATAGAAATCTGTGAAGATAAAACACGTAGACTATTTGATTGGCCAATGAATGATGCCTTCTCGATGGATAATACTGAATCAAAACTAATCTGCATAGAATCTTCGGTTTGATTTATGCTGACAGAAAATACAGCACAAAAGTACACAGAATTTAGGCTATTTGGCTCTAATGCAGAAGAAGAAGAAGAATCAGGATTTCTATTGGATGTATGGGATAATGTACACGCAAAGTGGAAATCATGACCATGTAACCATACCGGGCTGATACATGATACGCTGAAATTAAAAGGAATACACGTTATTATTATAAGACAATTAGATTTTTTTTCTAAAAGACATTTCAGTAGTAATTACTTCAAATCTCGATAAAAAAATTCCGAGTAATTTTACTCATGTTAGAACTGAACAACCCCAGGGAAGATTCCTCATTGTCGCACACTGTACACGGATGTCCCTCTATGAAAGGTGGGAAAATCCGACTCCAAATCTATGATGTACGTGGAATTCGGAGGCGGATACTGGCTGGCTGGCTGGCTGTAGGAGACTATCGATGGTGGTTTTTTGACTTCCGTCGTTTTCAGTGCACACAGAGTGAAGAGGAAGTGAAGAGCCATCAAGTAGAGGAGTTGCATTAGTAGGAGAAAGGCAAGATAATAGAGATGAAGATGAAGACAAAGATGAGTGAGGATTAGAGAGGTTTCGCGTGCATTTCGGATTGTGAGGGCGATTGTTACTTCCCGGCTACCCACACCGTGGAAGTTGGTTGCGTGACCGCAGAGCCCAGAGGACAACTGCTTGAGGCCGGTCACACACGGCCTGTTTTTGCTTGTTGTTTTTCATTTGGTGTGTCTCAGTAGCACATTTATCACTTCTACCCTGTGACACGGCAGCAGGAAGTGCGGTCGTTGTTAATCCGGGCCCCGACCGACCATCAAGTCAAGGTAGCAGCTTTCGGTCGGGATACGCGAACGAATGTCGTAAGAACCTGCTTTACTTACCGATAACTATGGGAATGCAACTCCTGATGACACACTCTGATACTTATTGTGAATACAACAATGTCAGCAGCTTGTGGAGTGATCATCCTATAAGACTAGCAACAGCCTCAGTTTAGGTATCCAAGGAATATCTTCACCTTCAACCCTACAGAGTGCATCTCTTAGCGCCTACATTGTAGCAAGTTTATTTTTAAATAACAACAATAACATGTTGTGTGAAGGCTGAAGATATTACCCAGTTGTCCAGCCTGAGGCAAGCGGAAAGGAATTCGAGCCCACAATATGACGGTGGTTCAGCGGGAGAATTCTCGCCAGCCACGCATGTGGTGCCGGGGTTCGATCCCCAGCCGACGTATTCCTAGACCTCGCTAAGCCGGTAGTAAAGCTAGCGAAGAGGGAAGTTCGGGTGTGCGGCTAGCGACCCCATCCTGTAGAAATAAAAAACCCACTGCTGCCAAAACTTCAGAACTGAAGCTTGAAGCTCTATGTTCCACTAGGAACGTAAAAGAAGTAAAATAAATAAAAATAAAAAATTCCACAATACACAAACTTTTCCCTGACATTAAATATTTTAAAAAAAGAACATCTCATCGACTTCTAGTGTGGCGAGAGCGGGCTGCAAGCCAAAACTTGTAGACAACAATTTACGTCAATGTTCACGTCCCGAATCAGGGTCATGAGAAAAAAAGACAATAACAAAGCTTGACCTTGGGAAAATTGCCAGCCAATCACAGCGGAGTTAAAGTGTGTGGAAATATGATTCACAGGTATATATGGCTTGATTTTTTGAGAAACGGCCACAAAAGCAATAACAGAATAACCTTCAGCAAGAAAACAACCGATGAGAAGAGGTTGCTTATCCGCTAACAACAACGTTAATAATAATGCACACAAGAACTAGTAGAAAGACGATAAAGTATTTTAATAAAATCTGTATGGAAGTGCAATGTTACCAGTAAACAATAATAGGGTGATAATAAAATAAGGACAGTGAGAACAATAATAATTATAATAATAAAAATAGTAAACCTAAATAATAAAATGAAGCAAAATTATAGTAAGAGCATTACTCTAGCCACCGTAGGGCGAGTGAATGTATATAGGGCTTTTGAATGCAGAGGTCCAGTTTCAGATCCCGAATAGCTAATGATTCAGCTACGTATAGATGGCGTATTCGAAGTCTTTTCATGCGATATTGAGGAACTCTGTGTAGCACTGTGAAGAATTCAAGTAGGGGTGTTCGATGTCCAGAGTTGACAAGGTGTCCGAGGATAGAGGTGCTACCATTCTTATTTTCTCCTCTGGCTAGTTAGCGAGGTTGGATTGCGTACGGTCGATATATTCTGATCCAAACGAATAAGCAAACTGATAAACACACACTGGTGGCTAAAATCGGTATCTTATTCTTAACGTTAAACTGTAATGTCTGCTGAAGAATGTGGTGCGTAAGATGGCTGCTTGAAATGTCTTCTTCAAACATTTAGAAAGGTAGGTTCTATGAATTTCTGCTTCAATATCACCTTTGAGTTAAAGGTTGTGATTTTTGGAGGACGGAGACTTTTCCTTCATGTTTTTGTCGATGAATCTCGGTGGATACCTGTTCTCCTCCAGTAGGGTTTCAAGGCTAATGAACTCAATTCATTCTCTATCGTGTCTTTCGCGAACAGATTTTCTTCAATCCTTAAATATAACGTACGTAGTAGGTTTTGCTTTCGGATCAGTAGGACTACTACTAATATATCTACATTTCCGTCTTAGTTTTAATCCCTTCTATCATGAAATAGCATTACTTTATCAAATCAAAACTGTCGATGAGAAACTGTGATTCGAGTTTATAGCTTATGGAATACAGAAACACAAAAACAAAATCACTCACTTTAATCCTCCTAAGGAACTAGGCAGTAGAGTGTTTAACTCAAGTTTTATCAACTTTCTAGTGTTGATATTGTACAGATAATAAGTTAATCCACCGTTTTGAATCACTTCTAAAACATCATGATCAAGAGTCGGTGATGTATGTGCTTCAGGCAATACACGACATGTTATTAACAGTAAATATCCTTTTGTTAGCTTAAGATCAACAACTGAACCAGGAACGACAGTCAATACTGATGATTTATAACTAGCAGTCTGTAAAGCAGGAAATAGTAAGAAAAAGCGAGGCAAAAAAGGTTGAAAATACCAAGCTAATAATAGATAAACATATTTAACAGAATGAAAGTGCTCGGGAGAAACAAACACAAGAAAATCAGGCAGGCTTTAGACGACGAAGAGGATGTATCTGATCATATTTTCACTCTTCGACAGGTTCTGGAACATAGGCATACTTACGGGCGTCCAATAATTGCAGTATTCGATTCCATCGACCGAGAGGTACTATGGCAATGTTTGCCCACGAAGAGAATGCCGAGAAAATCCATCGCACTTTTGTCTATTATCTCTCCTTCGAATCTGTCTTCACTCTCTTCTCTTGCTTTGTGTGCGATATGGAGGGAGGGTGGCAACTCGAACTGTCACACATCTGTGCAAAGTTCTACGCTGAAACCTGTCAGTCAACAGAATGAAACTAGAAGTTAGTGTTCTAAGTGTGATGGATAAAAAGAGAGAATCGCTTTTTATTTACGCACGACAAACCAACAGTTAAATAAAACCTCAAAAATGTGTACATGATCGGTATATTTAATCTTTTACTTTACTATGGCTATAGTGTTTTCCTTATTGTTCTCTTAATATTCTTTTAACTCCTGTACGTACTATCACCAGTGTTGTTAATATTATTCGTATTGTGACTTACTTTACTTTCCGTTCTCTGCATGTATTATTTTTACATCTTCATTTAGGAATCTCGTGAAGATACTTCCTTTTAAAATGGATTATATAGTCTCACTGTTTAATATATGTGTAAAACTTGGGCATGTGAATAATTCCATATAAGTTTCTTTATTAGTTAAACAGTATTATTTACTGGATGACGTTTCGAACAAAATTTATTGTTCATAATCATTATTCATATCAACTCATTTCTGGCAAAGAACTTGAACTTAGAACGAAAGTACCACTATTAGAGGACATAATACTGGAAGTGCAGCTATGCCTAACTTCCACAGTATTTAAATTCCAAGGGAAAATATACAAACAAACTGGGATCACTAATATCCCCGGTTGTGGCAGATATATTCATGGATAGGTGGGAAAACATAGCGATTGAAACTTTCAGCCCCACCCCCAAAATATGGTGAAGGTATGTAGATGACACATTCACTGTACTTGGAACACAGAATATAGATCGATTTTTTGAACACATTAACTCAAAGGTGGAAGCAATTCAATTTACCCATGAATTGGAAAGTCAGGCAGAGGAGCTTCCAATGTTAGATTGTAGCGTAAAAAGGAAAGAAGATGGGGAGTTAAAACAAACTAGTTTTTGCAGGATACCCACACATTCACACTGATATTTGAATTTCCGATCATCCCATCTTATGTCAGTAAAAATAAGACTAGTAAAATGTTTAAGTGACAACAGGGCACAAAAATTAAGTAGTATCAAGGAAAATGTAAGACAAGAAGTGAGGCATATAAGAGAAGCTTTGAAACTTAATAATTGCTCTGATAAATTAATCAGGAAGTATGTAGCAGAATGTAACAATAAAATTAATAATAATAATAGTGATAGTGATGATAATAATAATATTGAGGACGACATGCATGTCAAATATGCACAGAATAATAACATCAACAATATGGAATTAAAATAATCAGTAGTACTTCCATACAAAGAAGGAACCTCAGAAACCTTACGTAGAATTCTTAACGAGGCAAGAATAAAAGTGGCATTCAAATCCACAAACTCAATTAGAAACAGACTTTGTCGACTACAAAGGATCTTGTGGAACCTTTAAAACAAAACAATTTTGTTTATATAATACCCTGCAATGATTGTCAGGTCAAATACATAGGTCAAAGTAGTATAACAGCTGCAGCCAGACTAGGGGAGCATAAAAACCTAGCAGGAAAATCTAGATTAGTTGACCCGAAACCTTGTCATCCAGTGAATGATACTGTTTCACTGTGTGATACATCTAATAAACAAACTAGTATGGAATCTCACTGTTTAGTTACACGCTTTTTTCACAATCATAGTGGTAAGTGATAAACTTAAAAACTACTCTTTGAATTAGATGAAGGGAAGGAATGCTAATGAAATTCATTCACCAGAAAGAAACAGATATGTGGCTGAAGATGCCTAAAATAATATGATATATACATATATATGTATATGTATATATATACTCGTATACTGTTGGAAAATGCTGGTATTTTAAGTGGCTATTTATCCCTAACCAATCTATACATATAAGCACATAAATGTGCTAAATAATGATGTGTTCCACTGTATAAAAATCACAATAGTAGGTGACATAATAAACCCCTGGAGTTGGAGAAAAAATCAAACCCATGACTTACTAGTCGAAAGCTTCAGTCATTAACTCTATGTTGTATAGTCTAACTAGAATAAAATAGCTCACCTAGATCCACACTTCCGTTCTAAGTTTATTTAATGCATTTTGAATGAAGCTTGATAAACAGGTATAATTATTGTGGAACGGCAAAAATTTTATCAACTATTTTATAAACTAACAAAGACACTTAAAAACGACTTACTTCGTTAACATACTTGAAAGACACAATTAGGCCACGAATATCGCCTGTGATGAAAGCGTCACCGGATGGAGAAACATAAAAGTTTCCGGAGAGCATGTTATGATGCGGATTTTGAATGGACACAGGATACAACTGTTGAAAATAAAATCAATAAAAAAATATCAACACACACGTATAAATAACTGTAAACCAGAGCATTCATGTTGCCCTACAAAATATTATGAGATGTCAGTTTATCACCTAAACGGAAACAGTATTTCCACTTACATGTTGGTTCGATGACATTTAATTCAACATTTTAATTCTCAGAACCTATAAGACTAAATGTGATATGTAAAAATCGATGAGTGATACCTACTACAATCAATATTATGGATAAATTACTACTGGTTTATTGTGAGTGACCTCAGGATCGACTGCAATAGCACAATGGTTTGCCATCACTACACTTAAGACTAAAATATCTTAAAGGAGAAAAAAGTATTTGTAAAATAAAATGAACTTGTATTTAACAGTAATATTTCTTGACATAAACCATTAATAAATGAAGAACAATAACTACTTATCGCGGATCAATGTACTCTTAAACCTCACCTAGCCAGCATTGAGCACAGCCTATGGCTGGAAACCCCACCCCGTAACAAGAAACAACACCACCTCTATTGAAAGTTTAAAGCTTAGAGCCCTATGTTTTACTCAGAAAATCACTTGTTACGGGAAAAAGAAACGCATCCCCATTGGTAAAAATTTACTGGATATATAATAAAACAATATATTTCTATGTCAATTTGCTGTCTGAAAAGTTTACATTTGAATTATTCAGGTTGTATTTTTGATAATATTGTTCGCATAAAAAGCAATATATAATATATGTAATGATGAGTTGATTTTCACACTTTAATTCCAACTCAGTGGGACCTTACTTGTATAATACTGTCTTTCTTTTAATAATCATTGTTAAGCTGAACCACAAACCAGTACGATCAATGCAGTCCTACCAATCAAATAAATAGTCAGTGCATAACAAAAATATAACAGCTTCAAGTCACGTCAATCCATAACATTTTGTGCAGTTTATATATACAGTCTCAGTAAATTTACTTTACTTCATGAAGAAAAAATTCACAATACAGTTAACTAGAATGAAAGTGTTAAAACCCAGTCATATGAGACTGCATAATTCGTACAATTTAGTAGACACCAGTCGAAAAAGTGAGCAAACTTTAACATACACATACAATTTTGGTCTTTAGCGAATTTGTATACTTCCTAAGTTAGTTATTTAGTTGGAACGAAGTTACTTAGAACAGAATTTTCATGTACCAGGTTGCAAATACTATGTGAAGACTAATGATACCACAGCTGAAGTAAGAACCAGACTCTGGTTCAAAAGGCGGAGAATCATATGCTTATGTCATTAATTTACATCTCTAACCTAAATACATGAGACGATTTAGAACGTCTTGGAAAGAAACATACGTGTGAAACATATGAAGGAAAGTACTGCACTGACACCAGTAAGATAAACTCTTAAAACACTAACAGGAAACTCTATATGTGAAGCAATTTTTTTAATGACTGACAGTACTAAACCGAAATAAATGAAGCGTGTTTTAAAAACTGACTAACTTTTAATTTCTTGCTGTCTGACAACGGCAAAGAATGGAGAACTATTAGGGACTGCTCCTCACTTCGAAAAACCAGAGACTTTTTGTAGGTAGCTTTCATGTTATAATAGCAGGAGCACACAATCACAAGTCTGTTTTCTGAACGTACTTTGACAGAAATAGGGATAGCTGATGACGTTTTCCTAAGAATGTTATGAACATTTTCAACCTAAATTTGAGGGAATTACAAATATGCTTCACAAACTTTAACAATTCCAGCAACTTTGCACGATTTCTTGTCAATTACACTCAGAAATCCGTTATCCCAGCCAAACACAACATATTCATTACAAGCGTCCAAACAACTTATTATTGGACGCGTCTCACCGCGATTAGAATGTAAACCATTCTTCAAGAATTCAGAATGACACTTGTCCACAATATGCAGAACAGAATCATACTCCTGAAACTCTCCGATAAGTTGACGAATATTATCCTTCGCCGAACCCATATGTGTACCGTCACATTTGAGAAACTGCCTATGTCTGACCTTCATAATCTACACCCAATATCCAATGCCATTTCGCCAACAATGTAAACACATTTTTTACTCCTCTAACTAATTTCTAGTTGTTTTAGAATACTTTTAGATCTTTTCCAGGTTCGACTGCATAGAATCTATCCCCTTACTGTCGATTTGTTCCTAGCCAATGGCATTACTGATATTCACAAGTACGTTTACATACACTTCCTCTAAATAGGTCTGAAAGCACTCTAGAGAACAGGAGAGGAATGAAGAATAATACCTGGATCTATTTCAGACAAAGATAATGGTCGCTGAGTAGCCACTACACTCTATGGTACCAAATTAAAGTTACACTAGGACACTCGCCTCAGATAATAAGTTTCACTGTAAACGGCAAAACTCGTGTAGCTGCTAAAGAAGCATATCATTCCTATAGCGACTAATGTCAACATCATCTATCCGAACTTTATTGACTAACGTCATACACATTATCATCAGCCTGATTTGGTTTCTGGCGTTGTTTTAACCAACTTATGAGGTTATACTTACTAACATTAATATACTTGCAGACCGAAACAAACTTCTTCAGCCACCCACTTTTTCAGGCATACAATCAAGTAATTAAGTCTTTTTGACTTGTGTTTCATTGTCGTAACTTCCAAGCAAGGCAAGTAACTCATTAAGTTAGTAGTAGAACAAAAAAGTTAGTAGGACTGATCAAATTTTATGTAATAACAACTCCTCCAAAAACTACCCATTTATTATAAATTACAATGAAATGGGTAGTATGCCCATTTTTATGATCTATGTGACTCATCTGAAGGGAAACAATATGTTCACGAACATCAAGAATGATGATTATTCATAAATACTGTGTATAAGATGAATATTTTCAGTGCAGCTTGTTTTCTGAAGCAATTTCAATCGATTCTTCTTCATAGCTAATACCTTTTACACTTTACCCTGGTTGGGTGCAACGTCAGAAATGAGATACTACTGTTTCCAAAGTTAAAATTTGTGTAGTAAATGAATTAGCTGTTTACAGTTCGCATTAGATTCCCTGATGGAAAAGAATATGGTTGGACGTGTGAAACGAAACCGACAGACCGGAGATGAAAAGTCTATTCTATCCAATGACGTAGCATAATTATTTCCATGGGGAGCCTTTATGACACAGAAGTCATGTCTCTTCCTGTGCATCACCAGAGGATATCTGTAACATTGCTGTAGCTTATTTAGCCATCACAGTTTCAGTTTTCAGATGACGGTCGATTTCTCAAAAGGCTGGATTTTGCATGTAAATCAGTCTCTGAATGCAACTAGTGTAGTTTTGTGCGTCTCATTTCCAGAGGTAATTGGTGAAAATCTGGAACTAGTTTGCTGGCATTCATCAACAAAATATTAGCAGTCACTAAGGAATTTATATCTCCTCGGTGATTAAAATTCGCCACACTAAGTTAGGCAGCCAGAGGCATTACCACCGAGCCATACACCTCAGCGACTGACTTCCCGTAGAGGTGTAACGTTTACGCTGATCAGTTACTAGGGTAAAGACAGTGTTGTCTTTATTCCCTAGTGCTGATTGAGTTCAATGAGCGAAGTTGGGAAGGATTCAATTATGGATAAAATTTATTTTGATAAAGTCTCACAGTGTCATACAGTAATATTTTCTGATGACGTTTCGAGCACAATTTGTTGCTTATAATCATACCAAGTTGCACACACAACTTCTCGACTTTATCGAAATAAATTCTGTCCACAGTTTCCAAGTTTATAGTTTTATCAAGTTAGGAGTGAGTTTACCAAGTTAGGCAACTGACAATCATAGTGCACTTATGGCAGGACAGCTGGCCACACTGGCGAGACAAATTTAAGCCCACTTTCCTGTTAGACTCAGATTGAAACAACGCCCACTATTGCTGTGTGGTCACCTCTCCTCCTAGATTTGCCCTATGATCGCACAAATGGTGGATGTCTCGGCTTGGTCTACCCGAACCAAGCGTCCATGCTGGGAACAACACCACCCCAACTGGTGAAGGTAGACATGTTCAGATAACGATTGTATTGAGTTTGTAATGACAAAATCATAATATGGTGCAGCAACTACACTCTAGTCGCTTTAGAACATGATTGACTTCAACATGCCTTTTGTGATCTCCAACAGTAAAGATAAACAGATCAATTGTTGAGCACTAAACGACTATAGCTTAACCAAATTCATTAATGTCTCTGACTCCTTATATATTTTTGGATGATATTGGATGACTGGAGGAAGTCTTCAAACCATTTGTTTGACAGGATCTATCTGCGTTTCATTTGTCTCACTTTTACTTCACTCTCCACCGGGTTCTAGAATCTGTTGTGGCTAGATGTCATTGCTTCTTAAAGTTAAAATTTTACAGTAGAATTTCTCTTTGAAACTGGAAAAAGCTTATAGCCGTTTAAGCTGAGTTGAAATGGCGTGGAAACCAAGAACAAATCAGCAGTAAACTAGGCCAGTATATTACTGTACACCCATGGAAGTGCTTCGATTGCTTCTCCGTTTTCCAACCTACCTCTTCAAATGTAAACATAAGGATGATATTATTTTGAACACTAATGAATATATTGAAAAGAATAGCCATGAGACAAAATAGATAGCGGCTGCCATAATTGTGAACCAGTTCAAACTACTACGCAATAAAAGAAAATCCAAAGCAATTAAAGTGAATTACCTTGCAAACCCGAATTTATTAGATAACTGAGAGTAAGTAATGAGATTTCGACAAATTATGCTCTCGTTATTCTGGCTATTTAACAGTGTACCAACACGACTCTATGAGTCACCAGTTCGAAGATATGCAACTTTAAATTATAGCAGCCATGAGAATACATGACCTTTGACAACCAAGTTCTTCTGCTTCTTCTTGATCTTCTTCGATTGCGTCATTGTTAATGGTCAGGTTCGGAACACCATTTGATGTTTTATTCCCGTGCCGCTGCATTTTGAGCCAGATGTGCTTCGAGCTTCATCACTGATTGGCGAATTTCCGTAATAGCTTTGTTCCTAGCATT